CCTCTCGTGTTAGTCCTCGGAGTGCTTAAACAATGCTGTACGTAGGTGGTGTTCTCACTTTACAGATGAAGACTTAACTCCTCAAGTTATAGTAGAGGAACTTAGGGGTTAACTCAGGCACTCAGGCGCTCTGATTGTAAAGTCCACACTCTTAACCACAACCCTGTGGATAACAGTACAGAATTATAGTACAAAATACTCTTTTTTCTCACAGGGTAAGCTATTAGATGTTAACTGTCAGAATGCAATTGAAGACTTTACTCACAGGCATTGTGAGTAATGCACATTTGAAAACGGTATGAAAGTAGAGATGATCACACCTCAGTAATAGAGTCCTTGCAGGATGTTTTCAAAGGGCCAGATGGTATGTTTTTTGAGAAGTTAGGAAAATAAAGGGGTCTATACTTTCAGTTGAAATCTAATGAAAAGTATTAGACCAAGTTTAACTTCACAGTTTCGGACTGAAAGTGATTAGTTTGTTTTCATTTTTCTCTTCTCTTCTCTTTCCCTCCTTCCCTCATACTGGGGTTTAAACTCAGGGCTTTCTGCTTGCAAGGCATGCGCTCTACACCTCAAGTCATGCCTTCAGCTCAGATTGTTCGCTTTTTGTCACCAAGATGCCACTTACATTTTTCCTCTCCTACTTCTTTTTTATATACAACCTCCAGTCTGCTGCAATATATACCTTACCATCTACTTTCTTTCCTAGGGTTGCACATGTGCTGAGAAGTCTGATCCTGTTAGATATCTTTGACCTCTGTATCTTAAGCGTTTCATTCTTTTCTTTGAGTGTCTTTGGGTTCTCTCTCTCTTCCCCCCTCTCTCTGCCCTTTTCTCTCTCCCTTTCATTTTTTCTCTTCCTCTCCCATGGTACTCAGGATTAAACACAGAGCATCACACATGATAGGCAGGTGCTCTAGCTTTGATCTACACACCCACCTCCTGGGCCATCTCTTATTCACCAATTAGCTGTTGGATACAGCTGTGTCTACCTCCTGTTGAAACCATGTTCTCTGTCTCTGTGTTGACAGTGATGCTTTATCCTCCAGGCCAACTAGGCCCTCATGCAATGTAGAAGATGCTCAGCCTCGCCCATGTGTAACCCCAGTCACTGAGGATCCAAGCCATGTTGCATGTGCTTCTCCTGAAAGCAGTTCTTTTGACTTCTGTCCACTCTTTCCCTGGGCCGTAGGCTGTGGGGTGGGACTGGAGACAGAAGCCTTTCTATCATCTCCACATCCCTATCTCCATATCTGAGCTTTCCCACATAGCACGAGGACTATTTATTTATTGAAAATGTTAAAATAGGGTCTCACATGTTTTGCTTTAAGACACACAAATGTACATTATTTTCTCGCTCTTGGTGTAAAAGACCTTTTCTTTGAATAAAGAATACAAATTAGCATTTATAAAATTTTCTTACATAATCAACATTAATGAATATTTGTTCTATTTAATTTTTCTTAAAAGAAGATATGTGAAGTGATAGGTGTTTAAAGATATTTTTTCTCAATCTTTTAGCGTCAGCTCACTCACACCTATTTTTTTTTTTTTTTGAATGACTATGGAGTCATTCCAAAGCAGTCAACCTAGTTTTTGTAGCAATAACTGCTCATTTCACACTCATTTTATCAGCTCATGTACTTTTAAATTAAATTATGTAATTAGAATAAAAGATACAACTGCCACAAAAAGGTTTGGGGACAAATATGACTGCAATTCAGCCACAGTAGCCACTGGACACCCACAGCTGAGTGTTCCTGTGTCCTCAGAGAACCTACAGCAGGCAGGTGGTCATTCCCTTCACAGGTAGAACGGACGGTTGGGCTAACCCAGCAGGCTGAAGCCTGGTTACCAGTGTCTATGGTATGAACCACGTCCTCACGTAACTCAACCCCAGAGGAGGCCTCATGCAGATCCCTTCACATGAAGTAATGGAGTTAGGGCTTGGCCTTGTTGGTCAGACATGCTTCGGCAGGCCATACCCCTAAATTAGGCCAGACTATTAACATTCAAGATCTTCAAAACATTCCCAAAACACAAGACCTGTTTTTTTCTCCCTCCTGTGGGTGAACAGGATCATCCTGCCTGTTTTCATGTAGAAACAGGTTGAATTATGTACCTGTACCATAAAGTCCCGGAAAAACTTGGCTTCTGCTTCTTTAGACATTCTTTAGAAAAGAGGTTTCTCTTTTCTGGAGGTTGGTCCAAGCCAGAGCTTAGAATGTAACTTCTGCTTTGGTGCCACCAAGTGGTTGGTTTGGACATGCCACTTTTCAAGAAGAAGATGACTTGTCAAATAAATGATTAAAAAAATGGGATGAATTGGCAGAACACAGGATTTTTAGCGTAGTGACTTTTTCTGCACAGTACTCCAGTGGTGGATGTATGTCATGGTATGTTTAATCAAACCCACAGAATGCACAATACTGAGAGTGATAGGGTGGGCCATAATGTATGTCATTGTAGGTTCATCAGATGTGAAAAAATGTACAGTTATGGGGGGTGTTGCATGTGTGGGGAAGGGGAGTATAAGGAGAATATCTGCACTTTCTGCTTATTTTTTCTGAGAACCTAAGGCTGCTCTAAAATAGTTTGTTAATAAAAGAGCATCTTCTACTTTACATAGTTTTCTCTTCTAGGTACCGGTGTTGCATGTAAAAGTGAGGGAAGAGAGACATGAGCTGGGGAGGCCAGCTGACTTCTCAAAGCAGGGATGACTGCATCCAGGCTCAGCATCTGGGCCCTTAGCCCCCACCCCACCCATACTAGGCATTGAACCCAGAGCCTGGCATATGCTAGGCAAGTGCTCTACCACAGAACTACATCCCTAGCCACTTTTACTTTTTAATTTTGATGCAGTGTCTCACTTTTGATCTTCTTGTCTCAGCCTCCCCAGTAGCTGGGATTATAGGTATGAACCACCACACCTGGCTTGGACCCCTAAGATTGTAAATATCAGAAACCTAGTTGTTCAATCTTCCAAGGATATATCATACTCCAGAAACTCCTAAGAAACACTTGTGGACTGGAGGCATGGCTCAAGTGGTAGGGTGCTTGCTTTGCAAGCACGAAGCCCTTAATTCAAGCCCCAGTCCAACCAAACAACAAAAAAACCAAAAACCCCCAAACAACCAAAACCAAAAGAAAAAGGAAACACTTGTCCATCAGTCAGAATGCCAGTGCCTAATTTACAACTAGAAACATGTAGCGGTAGACCAAATCACTACTTGCTGAGCAGTTTACTTTTTACCCTGCTGTAGGTTGCTTGTTGAAATCACAGTGGGGTGTGTGTGTGTGTGTTCACATGTGTTGTTTAATGGTTAATACCATTAAGCTGAGTCTGTTTTCACCACTTTAGGGACTCTGGGCTGGGGACATTTCCATTGCTGGGCAGAAGCAATGTCAGGTAGTGCTGATGTCAGGTAGACCTAGTCTTTCTCTTTCTGAAAGTCTGCGGTATATCTGAGAATCTTTTCTTCCCTCAGGACACAGAGTCACTGGTAAGTCCAGAACTGTGTGGTTGCTGACATAGCTTTAGTCTTTGGAGAACCTGTTTGATCACCATGCTAGCATTTGGGTGTTCCCTAAACTCATCAGCCACCGTTTATAGATTTTTTTTTTCTTAGGGGGAGATGTTTTACTCATTGTATGATAAATTTTTTCCTCTTCATTCTCAGAGGAAAACTTATGTTTCATAGTTTGGTGATTCTGTCCCCAAATGCAGGTTAAAATTAATTCTGTACAATTTTTAATCACTTTGGCACAAGATTCCCACTAGCGAAACAGTACCTGGCTGAAGATGGGAATTATTTTAGGTTCCTAGTGAGGATGTGTTCTTGTAGAATTGGTGTCTAGGTCTTGAGAGCTTTGCACAGGTGTATACCAGCCTGTCCCATGAGTCCTCATTGTCCTGCAAGCTCAGTTGTCTCCAGTTCTTTGGTGCAGCATATCTTGTCCCAGTACCTTGACCCAAATTGCTGCCATGGAGTCTTCAGCCAAGGGGACTTGGGGGATATTTGTTGAAAATTGGTAGCCCACATTTGGAATCCAATGTATTTTATTTTTGCCAGTATCTTCTTTTTTAAAGTTTGACTTAAACTGAAAAATCAGGAAGATTCATACAAAGCTCTGAGTATTTGGTTTCTTTACAAAACAGTAAATCTGGCTAAGCAGGGCCTCCATTTCTACAGTGCAGTAAGTTACTGGAGTGATTTAGATAGAGCACAACCTTCCAGCTATCTTCAGTCCCACCCTTCCCTTTCATTCATTTATGTCACTGCATGGGAATGATGCATTGCAAAAACAAAAACAAAATATACAACAAGCACAAGGAATGGCTTCTTATAGACTTGTCCCTGCTGACTATGAGGAATTCCTTTGGAACCGCTCCCAACCTTTTTTCTTTCTCTCAGTTAGATTACCTTTGAATTTATCTCTTATGCTTCCAAGAGGTGTGGGACTATATACCTCGTTTTGAATCCCAGCACCAATCCTTACTGAGTTAAGTTTCCTTACCTGTAAGATGAGGCTGATCATAAGCCTCATAGGCTGGTATGAGAATGAAATGAAATTTTGTTCATAAGGCATCAAGCAGAGGGTTGATACTCTTCTGTCAGACATGATTCTTTTTCTTCTTTTTGACCTGGATAAAGTCCAGCTGAGCTTTCCTTGATGCATTCTAGCCACTCACACCTCTTTACTCTTACAATAAAAAGTCAACTGTTTTATTTTTTATTTCCTGTAACTTTCAGCTTCTCCTATTTGTACATTTCCCTTCTTTTTGTAGATATAACTCTTTCATGGAGATTGCCATATAAGAATAATGGATGGCAGGTGTATTTATTTTGTTATAGGTAATTCTGTTTGAAGGCATACTTTTATCAGATTTTTATAATAATTACATAGTTTTGTGATGAAATCTACATTAGCTTTCATACTAGTCTGTTGGACTTTTTATTGAATATATATCTATTTTTCCATTTGTTGTATGTTTGTAGAAATAGGACCAAGGTCAAAAGCTGGAAAGTCATCAGCAGAAAAAATTGGTACTGCAAGAGGCACACTTCGCCTGAGATCAGGAGGTCTGGCCACTGTGGAAAAGATGGTATGTTATCAGGATTGTCATTTAGAAACACAAGCAAGAATTCATCAATTCCTATTCTGCTTGCATGTGTATAGATATTCATGTTAGAGCTGGATGTAAAGGTAAAATCATAAAGTTAATGTCATTCATTCTGATCAAATCATACACTTTTAATTCATTGCCTACTTATTATGAGATTCACTGAGGGCATTTAAGAAGGAAATACAGAGATCAAGTACATGAGAAGAGATTGTGAGGTCCAGGAATTCTCAGCTACCTGCAAATGACTTTTTCTATAGACATCTAGACTATCTAAAGAATTTTAAAATGAAACAATCAAAACTCTCTGAAAGCCAAGAAACAGACTGGCACTAGGAGTAGACATAGGAGATTCTGATAGATTATATCCATGAAGCCCAATCTCCTCATATAAATTATTTCAGAGTTATTGTTGACTCTACTTTTTCATGCCTTCCATCCTTCTATCAGTGAATCCTGGTGGATCCACCTCTACTCTTTACCAGAGTCCAACAACTTCTTACCACCCCATCCCTGACTCTGGTTCATGGACCATTGTCATCTTATCCTGGATGTCACAGTCACTTATTCAGTCTCTGTTCCCCATTGTTCCCTTTTCATCTGTGCTCAGCACAGCGGCCAGGATGATCCTTTAGAAGCAAGTGAGAGGATGTTACCTTTCTGTTCACAACTCTCCAGGGCCTTCCCATGTCACTTAGTGCAAAAGCTAAGGTCCTAAGTGACCATCATGACCTGACTCCACATCTCTCCTCTGATCTCATTTTCAACCCCCCTCCTCTGGTTCCCTCTGCTATAGAACATGGGTCTCCTCACTGTCCCTGAATGCTCCAGGTGTTTTCTCACCTCAGAGTCTTGGTACTGCTGTTACTACTACTTGCAGAGCTAATTGCCTTGCCTTCTTTAGGCTTCTGCCTCTGAATTACCTTACCTAAAAGGCCTTTTCTGAGTATCCTGTGTAGATCTTTCCTGTCCATTTCCCAATTTTAGTTTTCATTAAGGCACTCAACATTGTAGGACAAATTATATCTTTGCCTAATTTCACCTATTGTCTGGCTCCTTGACTTGCAAGTCTTGTTCACTGCTGTATGTCCAGCAGTAGAATAGTACCTGATGTGTCAAAGGAACTCAAATTTTTGCTGAGTTAATGAATTAATAATGGATTTATTTTAGCTTGAGAAAACAAAGGGTTTCACTAATTGACCGACTGTGTCTGTGGAAAGGTCAGTATTTGAGTGGACAACCCCAGACAGGCAAGAGACAAATGGAGGCAGAAAGGGAAGAAGAGAACATCAGGGGTTCAGGTGGCAATGGTGAGGACTGGCAGTGGCAGGCAGCAGGTCTGGGCCCACTACAGCAAAGGCAGTAGCGATGAAGTCATTCTGTAGGCTGAGGGAAGGTCGGGCAGGCATCTGAGGAAGCTCCTGTGGGCAGGGCACCAGGCCCTTGTAGTCTCTGTGCAAATAATGTCCCAGGATGCCCCTGTGCTTGAAGGACAAAGTGTGAGTGAGCTGACCAGCTAGGAGGCTCCTGACAGAGTGAGATCCTAGAGCTTGTTGGGTGACAGTGTCCAAATTCCATCACAGGCCTATTTGGGCCAAGATTATCCTTGGGAATATTTGGGTCACCAGGATGTGGTGTGTTTTGAGGAATCCAGAGGAAGATTCTGAGTCAGGTATCTTGGACCTGCAGGAAAGAAAGGAATGAGCCTGGAGGCAAAGGGCAACTAAGAGACCTGGTAGAGCAATAGCATTTTGACAATGAGGTATGTGAAAGTGCATGGGGATGGGGTTGGGGGTGGGGGGTGGGTGCAGTGACATCTGATCATTGAGAACCTTGACTCTCCCATCACTCATCACACTGCCTAGCATATTGATGAAAGCCATTACTGTTTCTTGAACAAGCCTCAGTGGAAGAAAGGGATTCATAAAACGATGTAAGAACAGTGGGCACAGTCTGGCAGAGGGGAACTGGGAGAATGCCAGCCCTGCTTTCTGCTGGAGGCTATGGAGAAAATGATCAGACTTAAATCAGCTTGTGAAGGAAGCGGGATTGGCAGGACAGCCCCATGTCCCTGAAGGAAGAGCATTGTTCTCTAATAGGTAACATCATTAGTGTTTGTGAGGCATCTGCCATGTATAAGGTGCTAGACTGAAAAACAGAAGCTTAAGATCTATCTGGGGAGGGAGGAATGAATTACCATAAGATAAAAGCTCCATCCCTAGTTGCATAGCCTGTTAGGTTTTAATAGGTCAATTAAAATTAGCTCATAATTGAAAGGAAAAAAAAAGCTAGTTTGGTGCTAATGTTAAATTTGATACAAATGACTTACAATCTAGTTTTAAACATTGAAGAATGTAAAGGATTTATAGGATTTGAAACAAATCACTTGGTACAAATTCGGGAACGTGGCTTGCACACCTCATATTTGATTCAGTATGTTGGTTGAGCCAGGCGTAGCTCAGGTCCTGGTGCTACAAAAATGAATAAAGACCTTGGTCTTCCTGTAGAGGGACAGAGACATGATAGGAATCAGTGGGATAAGGAGGTTCATAGAAGTAAGTATGGTCATGAAGAAGGAGCTCCTCAGCTGTTGTCAGGGGTCAGGAAAAGAAAAGTTAGCACGAGTTTCCCTGTAGGACAAATGATTGAGTTGGTAGAAAAGGGAGAAGAATGTTTTAGACAAGAGGCAGTGATGGGCCTGGGGAGTTTGTGAGCCATCCAGGAGACTGGAGTGTGGAGTGCTGAGACTCGGGGAAGAGGCTGCGTCAGGATGTAAATGGCCTTGTGGATAGTTGGGGAGTCATTTACAAATTGTGAGGGAAGAAACACAATCATTTTGTGTTTTGGAAAAATACTCTGGTTTGAGGGGCTAGATTGTTGAGCAGTGTGGATTTGAGAGGGTGATGGCAGGGAGGCAAATAAGGAAACCTTTGCCGATAAAAAAGGATGAGGACTAGATCCAGGAAAGCAGGATGGATGGAGAAGAGATGACAGGCAAAGAGCTTTGCAGGAAGCAGAATAGTAAAATATTGGATTGTGTATTTACAATATGGCTGGATAGATGCGGATAGATGCAAAGGTCTAATCCTAAATTATTTAGAATAGCCTGTTGCTTTACACAGACAATTCAAAATGCACTGCAACAAAGGCAAGTGCAATACGTTGTAGCTATTACTGTTTTAAGGCTTTGCTCTGTAGATACAAATGTGAAGGCTGAGGGTGTAGTTCAGTGGTGGAGCACTTGTCTACCATATCCGATTCTGGGCTTGATAATCCAAACGTAACCCACCCCCACATACAGACTAAGAAACTTTGAGTACTGTTACACTCAAGATTTTATTTTTAATAAAATACATGACTTTAATAAGTTTTGAGGATACAAAGCAACATACACTTATAATGGTGTTATAAATAATGTGAAATTCTTACAATCTCACGAGTCATGAGTTCTATTTTTGGACTTAGAGTTGAGGAATAAACATTTTTTGGCAATTCTTTTTCAGCTTTGAAGCCATTTAAAACCAAGTATCGTTTGGGTGTAATCCCAGCACCTGGGAGGCTGAGGCAAAATAATCATGAATTCAAGGCCAATATGGGCTACATAGTAAGACTGTCACAAGAAAAATAAGAACAACAACAAAAATTCCCAAAAGAAAACAAAAACTCAAGAATTAAAATAAACTGGATGTAGAGCAATAAACTTATCAAATATTAAACCAAGAATACTAAAACATAATATTCAATCATGTTTTTCACTGAAATCTTTAATAATAGTTTTAGTAAGAAGAAAATGTTTTGTTATCATAAATACATAAAACAAAAGGTATTTAAAAATATTGATCATTGTCTCATCCTTATAACGGTTCCTTTCTGGGTGTTTTTATGATGTATTCAATATATTAACATGGGAATATGCATGTGTGCAATTTCTGAAAATACACACAACAGAATTAAATTAAATGAAAAGTAAGAAGGGTGAATGTTGGACAGTATCTTACAGTTGAGGTGAGCCACCAGGACTTTGGAGATCCTGGCCTGCACAGGAAAGTTCAAAATCCATTTAGTAGCACAGAGGACCCCTTAGAGTCCAGTCATGTTTATCACTGTGTTCTGCAGTCACTTCTTGTGTCAGACTTGGGCCTCACATAGCCTTTGCCAGTTTGTTGACTTCTACTTGAAGTGACCCTCTTCTGTTATCTGACCACTGTTCATCTTTGAAAACAGTTCTTTTTTTTTTTTTTTTTTGACATTGTCATTTTTTTGCTTTATTTACTTTATTGTGCTGGGTGGGGATATATTGGGGCATTTACAAAGGTTCTTACAGTGTATCAAATATATCATATTTAAATTCACCCCCTCTACCCTTCTCCTATATTCTCCCTTCCCCGATTCCTGGAATAGTTTCAACAGGTACCATTTTTGCACTTACATACATGTGTACACATTTTTTGTACCATATTCATCCTCCTACCCCCTTTCTCTGCCACCTCCCTCCTTCCACTGGTGCCATCCCCCCTCCCCGCAGGATCTGTTTCACCCTCCTGTTCTCTGATTTTGTAGAAGAAACAAAGGAAAAAAAAAAAGCTTGTTTGAGTTTCCTTGTGACACTTCCATGTATTATATGTATTATAACCCCAATTGGTTCATCATCTCTATTTTTTGTCATTCTACCTTAGTCCCTTTCTTATGGTAGTTTCAGCCAGCTTAAGATTTCTATATTCATTCTTGTACAGAGTATATCAACCATATTCAAGTTCTTAGTTTCCTTCCTACACCTCTTGTATGTGACCTCTCCTTAGTGTGACCAGGAAAACACAGCTTTTAAGTCACCTTCTTTCTGAAGACTTCAAATAACTCTTAGATAAATTTTGTGCCTCTGTACTTTAAAAACTGTTACATAGTCAGGTATTTTTACATCTGTCTTCCCATCTGGACAGTTAGCTACTTGGAAACTATGTTCCTGGCTTTTCTTCTTTTGAATCCCTAATATTTAATGCTGACACTAAAAATAAATATTTACTGTCTTGATTTGTATTTAGTTACAAATTAAATCCTAGCTAGATTTTCCACTAAAATTAGCTAAAGTATACGAACGGGCTCCACAACAAATTTTCCCTTTTGTATGTGCTGACAACTAAGAGATTTCATTATAAAAATATCTTATTTCTTTGTTAAAGCCCTCTGAAACCAAAGCGAAGGCAATCGAAAAGGTTGATGATCTTCTTGAATTGTACATGGGAATTCGAGATATCGATTTAGGTAAGACTACTCTATTTATTTCTTGCTTACATTTATAGTCAATTATACTTTTCAAGATAAAAGGTGTTTTGGAGTGATGGAGAGAATAATGAACACAAAGACAGTGAAGGTTAATGGGATGACCTGGCCTTTAATATTGTTGTAGTTGGGAGAGGGAGGATAAAAGAAGGAAATTAAGAAGGTGAATATGTTGATGTACTTTCTATACAAGAATAAATATAGAATTTTAAAAACTGTTGAAATCACCATAAGAAGAGGACAAAGGTAAGAAAGGAGAAAAAGAGAAGGGATGAACCAATTCCCATTATAATACATACATACATGGAAATGTCACAAGGAAACTCCCTGTTCAGCTGCCTTAAACAAACAAAAATGTCTTTTTTCAAAAACAGAACAGGAAGGTAAAGTAGGTCCTGTCTAAGGGTTGGCACCAGAGGGAGGGGGGAGGATATAAGGAAAGGATGGAGAAGGGTGAATGTAGTGGAAGTATTAAGTACTCATGTATGAAAATGGAAAAATGAGATTTGTTGAAACTATTCCAGTAATGGGGAAACAGGGATAAGGGAAAATGATAGAAGAGATAAATTTAACTATGATATTTTGTAAGAACTTTTGTAAATGTCACAATGTGCCCCCAGTACAGCAATAATAAAAAAGAGTAATACTAAGAAAAAAAATAAAATTGTAGTTAGTTCTTAATTTATACACTGTGAGTAGTATTTCCTTGATCTTATTTTGTGCTTTTAAAATATGTGAAAGTAGTTTTATAAATTATGCATATGAAAGGTTTTGTTATCTGATATACCATATTTACTCTGAATTGTATATTTATATTAAAGTTGTGCACCATTTAATAGGGTCACTGAAGCCCTTTGAATAATGAATCAGAAATATGAAGGAAAAGGACACACCTGACCACATGGCTAACAAGGGCAGTTGAGCAACTGAATTTCTGTGTTTTCTTTTCTTTTCTTTCTTTTTTCCCTCACAGTAGTAGTAGGCTTTGAACTCAGGGCATTGTGCTTATAACATTCTATCACTTGAATCATGCCCCAGCCCTTTTGGCTTTAATGGTTTTTCAGATAGGGACTCACATTTTTGCCTGGTCTGCCCTTGGACAGTACTCTTTCTTCCCTTATAGCTGGGGCCATAGACATGTGTTACTTTGTTTTGTTGAGATGAGGTTTTGCCAGGGCTATACTTGAGCCACAATCCTGCTAATCTCTGCCTCCTAAGTAGCTGGAATTAGAGCTGTGAACCACTACATCTGGCAAAATTTCCACATATTTTTTAGGTTATCATTAGAATGTCAAGGTCTTGATTTATGAATTAAAGCATCAATTGCTGAATCTTGAGCTCAAATTAAGAAGAACCATACCTTTCTTTCTTTTTTCTCCCCTTACCCCCTTTTTGAGGCAGGGTCTTCTGTATAGTCAAGGCTGGCCTCAAACTCATGATCCTCCTGCCTCAGTCTCTTGAGTGCTGGTATTACAGGTGTGCACCACCACACCCAACCTGAGAACCACAGTTTTCAAAGTGGGAACTTAGAATAGTCTTCAATGTTAGAGTTTAGTTTTGGGTACAGGCCTTATTGATAGTTATGCAACTATAAATTAGAAATAGTTAAATAAATCAGTTTTGCTCTTTTTATTATTAACGAATATACATATGTTTGATAGAGTGTTGGACAATAGTGCAAGTAATTATAAATGAATTTAAGAACCAATTCTTTAAGAATGCTTTTCTTTTACTCTCAGAAATTTAGGGCACTAAACATCCTCACAAATTCCTTGTAAATTAGCCAGAAATCCCTTTGGTAAGGTTAATTAATCATCTGTAGCAAATTCTTCCAATTGACATGAAGTCATTATCATTACACATGATTAGCAACAAGATCAGTCACTTTGGGAGGCAAAGTGTGAGGAAAGTAATTACTTGAGGAATGTTGGTGGCTATTAAACTATGAATTTCTATTATTCAGATATGATTAGCATGAAATATAAATCATAAATGTGAGGCTAATTTAACCAACAAATGAATATATTTGCTTGTATTTATTCCCAGTATTACTTGGCTTTCAGAAATGTTACTTTTTAATGCAAATTACATTGATATGACATTATTACATTAATGTAAGCTTATAGTTAAAAGATTTAAAAATAGCATGGCAATGAAATGACTTAAAACACTGTTCTCAGAAGGGATTAGGATGTATTTATTATTTGAAAATAGAATATAATTCAAATGAACTTTTGTAGGAAGTAACTCTGAAGATGAAAGTACTTCATTTATTTGTGAAGTTGAGTTATGAACTGTGATTTTTTCAACCAACCAGGGTCAACATGGATTGCCTTAAGATGTTTGCATGGTGGTGCATACCTGTAATCCTAGCTGCTTGGAGGGAGAGCTTAAGATAATTATGGTTCAAGGACACGCTAGGCAAAAAGTTCACAAGCCCTCATGTCTGTGTGTGATGGCACACACCTGTTATCCCAGCTATGTGGGCAACACAGACAGAGGGATCACAGTGCAGCCTAGCTTGGGCATACAGCAAGTCCTGTCTTAAAAACAACAATGCAAAAAGAGTTAGAGGCATGTCTCAACTGGTAGAGTGTCTAGCAAGCAGGACACCCTGAGTTCAAATCCCAGTATCACTTAACAAAAAAAAAAAGGTTCTGGAAGATGTTGAGTTGAGTTCCGTAAGGCTTGTATGGATTGACTTAACTTAAAGGGAAATTGTGTCTGTTTCATATAAGTTTCTTCTAGAATGTTTAAGACAACTATGTAACTATAGTATTTTCTGATGGTATTAATTTAGGAGTTTGGAATCATCCTGACAATTTCAGAATTTTTGAATTCCTAATTTATTAACAAATCTAGAAATGTCTAGAAAGGAAATTTGAATGGTAGCTTCTATATCAGTTTTCCTGAAAATCTTTTATCACTCTTTAAAAAGTATATGATAATGATATTTTAATAGTAATGATTACATTTTTTCCTAGGGTCACTTTCTTTATTCAGGGAATGCAAAACAATGAACACTAATCCTTCTAAGATAAAGCCAATAAAGTTTGGAATAGTTTTTCATTCAGAAACATATTCTATGGCTGGGGGTGTAGCTCAGTTATACAGTACCTGACTAGCATAGGTAAGGCCCTGGGTTCAATCCCCAGCGCCACACAAAAACATATCCTGCATTGGCTGTGTTTTCGATATTCAGTTAATGTGTGAGTTGTTTGAAATGGTTTGATGATTATAAAAAGACTTAGGGAATGTCTTTCATAGAGGGTCTTTCATAGAATGAGATGTAGTTATGGACTTCATGGTTAGCAATAGCAATGACAAATCTTTATCGAAATCCTGCTATTTGCCATTTTATAGATTTGAAAACTGAGATTCAGAGTTAGGTAACTTGCCCAAAGTCAGAAATTAATTAATTCTGGACTTTGATACCAAGATTTTAAGCCACTGGGTAATTTTTTTATACCTCAAAGTTCTGTTTAAATATTTAAGCAGAAATGGAAACTATATGTTGTACTATGTTACTAAAATAGATTTGTCATTAATTATAATGTAAGAATAGTTCAGTGGAGAGAATGATGTAAAGATATTGTCAGAATAGCCACCAGAGGTCAGCAGGTAGCTGATATATCTGGCTAAAAATTCTACTTTTTGTGGAATTTTTTTTTGCAAGATTGTATTCATGTATTAAATATTATTACAGTATTTTGTAGCTTTGTTATAGTCAACAGATAAAATAATTTTAGGAGCTGTCTTATGTTAATGTGATACAGCTTTCTTAAAAGTTCTTATTTTGCTAAGTTCTTTGCCTTTTATCTTAAATCGGAGATACAAATTATCAGAAAGGATAATTTTTTCTACTTATTTCTCCTGTGAGGATGTTTAAAACATGTTTATTTTTGATGAATTAGCAAAAATTCATGACATGTTCAAGTGAATGTTCCAGTCTTAATTTCTTTTTAAGTTTATGTAGCAAATTGCTCTTTTTAAAAAGACTTATGGGGACCTGTTTTACATGCAGCTTTTCCAACACAATTATGAAGCTGCGTAATTGCTATTTTTATGGAGAATTTTATAAGACATAGAGTTCTTGAAGTCAGATGCCGTCTTTTTTTTTTTATTTATTCATATGTGCATACATTGTTTGGGTCATTTCTCCCCCACCCTCTTCCCTCCACACCACCCTTACTTCCAGGCAGAAACTGTTCTGCCCTTCTCTCCAGTTTTATTGAAGAGAAGACATAAGCAATAAGAAGAAAGACAAAGTGTTTTTGCTAGTTGAGATAAGGACAGCTATACAGAGAGATTCCTAGCATTGCTTCCATGCACAAGTGTATTAAAAACCGAATTGATTCATCTCTACCTGACCTTTTCACTAGTTCCCCATCTCCTCGCATATTGACCTCTGTCACTTTAAGGTTACTGTATTAACTCCTCTGCAGTGGGGACATCAAACACTTTCAAGTTTTGGGTTTCCTACCTATCCCCATAGCTCCCGTATGTGCACTCCCTTTAGAGTGTGACCCAAATCCAACAACATTGCTGCATTTGCCCTAGATCTAAAGTCCACATATGAGGGAGAACATAGGATTTTTGGTCTTCTGAGCCTGGCTAACCTCGCTCAGAACGATGTTCTCCTGTTCCATCCATTTATTTGCGAATGATAAGATTTCATTCTTCTTCATGGCTGAGTAAAACTCCATTGTAAATAAATACCACATTTTCTTGATCCATTCATCAGTAGTGGGGCATCTTGGCTGTTTCCATAACTTGGCTATTGTGAATAGTGCTGCAATAAACATGGGTGTGCAGGTGCCTCTGGAATAACCTGAGTCACTTTCCTTTGGGTATATCCCTAGGAGTGGGATTGCTGGATCATATGGCAGATCTATGTTTAGATTTTAAGAAGCCTCCATATTGTTTTCCAGAGTGATTGCACTAGCTTGCATTCCCACCAGCAGTGTACGAGGGTTCTTTTTTTCCCACATCCTCGCCAACACCTATTGTTGGTAGTATTTTTGATGATAGCTGTTCTGACA